ATATCCTGAATACATTTCATATTCAACTTGTATTATCTACATTATATCAATATGATTTATCAACAGAAAAGATAAAAAAAACTAAATAAAATATACATTTCATAAATACCAATATCATTTAGTCATTAGGAAATCAACCAAAGACAATGAAAATTACTAGAAAAAAAAGGTATTTAATCTTATCTAATCTACTTACTTGTTTTTAAATAGTTTGTTTAACATCACATAAATAAAAAGAAACCGACATTAACAGAAAGAACGAAAAAAAAGAGAAAAATTGAGAGGGAGAAAATTTCTTCTAACTCACATCAAATTACTGATTAATATCTATGAAAAATTTATTCATGGTTGAATTCAAATTAATTATGTTTTATTTACATAGATTATGTTTTGTTTCGTTTTTCTTTTTTTTAATGTTTCTATGAAAGTGAATATATTTTGTTGTTGTTGTTGTTGTGGAATTTAAATGAAATTTTTAAAAAAAAAATAGACAATCAGAAAAGAAAAAAAAATCGATGTCATTTGCAGGAGTACTTTTCTTTCTGCACGAGTACTCAAAAGAATAACTTAATGAATTAAATATTAATATTGATAATAGTGAAAAGTTAAGTGTTGGAAATAATTTTTTAAGGAAAAAAATTAGTGACATTCGAAATGAACATTTCATCGTCGTTGTTGACTTTTTGAAGTAATATACACTTTTACTACTATCTGGTAGTAAAATGTTGTATAGAAAAAATATTGAGATTTTCATATAATGATGAAGTGTTTTATAGTTATCTTAGATTGTAGCAAACGAGAACATTAGTGGGGGCAATCGAATGTATTTGAATACGAAATTACAGAATCTCGCAGTAAAATTTGAGAATCATACAATAAATACTTAATTTGCATAATATCAATCCATTGTCTCAAACTTGACTGTTCCTTTTGCAAATATCAATGAATCGTCTTAGATTTTATTGCTCCTGCATTTTCATACCAATTGCTTTTCGTTTTCTCCTTCTCGATCTTCTATTGAAATATATTCTAATCCTGACTATCGTTATATAATACTTATGTGGATATAAGTAGCTCACATCACAAGATGTCTAATTAACAAATATCCAAATGGAATACTATCAAATGAACTGGGACATGACTGATTTATTAAGATTTCTCTTAGGTTACTGGATAAATCAGTTTTATATATATAACATTTTCTTTTATCATTAGTTGGATTTTTACGATCTGTCTTTCTAAATGATTAGCTGAGAAATTAATTGCTAAGTATCTTTGTATTATACAAGAGCATATAATGACTAAACTGAAAATAAATTCTAGGCTAATGTTGGATCCTTTAAGTAAGATAAGCAAGGCTAGGTGAAAAGTATATGAACCTTCATAATAAAATACTAACAGTTAATAAATGTATTTAACTCTGTGCTTCTACCATTTAACAGGCTAGAGATGATATCTTTCTGTTAAGAATGAGATTTAACGGGTCAAAATATAAGGTCCAGTGTCATTAATTTATGGGAATATTCCAGAATTAACTAAATCTTCATCAACCTGTAATGTTATTGTCTATTGTATTGAATAACTAACGTTTAAAACGTTCAAACAACATTCATTTACTTAATCCTCAAAACGAAAAATTTCATTGGGATGTTTTAGACAATTACTTTGATAAGTTCAATAAAAGATAATATTTTGGGATGCTGAAAAATGATAGGATACAATCGATTCGAAGATTTGAGCATACACATCTAGACAGTTTCGGGTAACCTAGTAAAGCACCATTTAAAAACACACTGAAATTAGTTTTAAAAGGATTAAAAAATTGTGAATATTTCATATAATGTATGTTTAAACTATGAATTTGTTTAGGTAAGTTATGGTAGAATGCTGATCAACTGATAACAAAAATAAAGTATGATGGTTCTTCGGCAGAACGAATTCATCGATTTATTAACTTCAATGATATTTTCCGTTATGAAGCAACAGTTTAAAGTAAATAAATTTGCAAAATGAAAGATTATCAACGATAAATTTAAATCTTTTCATCTCGGCGGTCATACATTCACTAATATCAAATGGGATCCAACGAAGACTAGTTTTTAAACCACTGTTGCCCTTGGTTACTTCCCAGTTTATAAGCAATATGAATAAAATCTACTCTTGAGTTTAACTGATAATAAATTCTAATACACATATAGATACTTTTAAATAACAAAAAACCCTGGAGCTAATCTCAACTGGTTATTAACTCGTCGATTACAAACGGAAATTGCGGTGGTTCGATTGTTAAGACATGTTTTTTTCTTATTTGGAAATTACAAAGATTGTATATGTAAAGTATACCTGTAACCTTTATTAATCTCTCGAGTCTGCGACTGAACTTTATGACAATGATCAAAAACATTGGAGTACCTATTTTGAAGTTGTTATATCCCGATACGAATAATGAATGGTAATTCTTGGGATCCATTTATAGACCAATGCTATGAGTATATTTTTATCGTGTAATTGTTACGTAACTAAACTGTTCATATTCATGTCCGTCTTATTATGACCTATGAACTATTATTATACGATTTTTACCATTCTTGAGTTATGGCCTTTCCCTCATCCACAACCACTTTTGACCAAATATCGTACAAATGTTATTTTCTATTTTATGGTACGTTGTGGTCTGTCTGCTTGATATATAAACCGAGTATGTTTGAAATAAATGATCCATATTGCAGAGGCTGAGGTTGGTGTTCTGGACTTAACTGGCTGGGTTAGACAGGAAGCGAGACCAATCAGGACTCTAGGCTGCTCGCACGTGTTTTACGCGTCCTTGGACTGATCGATAATTTCGCTGCTCTCTGGTCGGCGGTATCGTTGCGTTATCCAATATACAGGGTTACACAGGTTCACAAGTTATAACAGAAGCAACTTTAATTCGTATATTAACTCAGACGTTTACTACGTTAGAGATGACTGTGTGGTGTCACCCAACCATCGTTTTAAATGACAAGATTTGTGTAGATAATATTTTCAGCCATTTGTAGTGTGAACAGGTATAACGTTTACATTTCTAGATAAATTACATATCGAAGTTGATGGTCGGTTTGACACGATAAACTAGTTTGTGAATGTTAAGAACTATTTATTGTAGGCACTAAAGTAGGCTCATTTGATTCACACTGAGATAACTTTATTTAGTATATTTAGATTGGCTACACACAAGGGCCTGTTCAAACATCTGGAAAACCATTTATGAAGTCAGTTGCAAAGTAGAACCTGGTACGTATGTACATTGGCTCAAGTTTTCATACTTCATTAGCACAGAGATCAGATTGTCAGGCGGAAACCCAGAATGGTAGAGGCAGTAACAATATGAGTGGTGATAGAAAAGATTAGGCATTGAAGATACGATTCCAGAAAATATAAATTGGTGAAATAAAAACAGAAAAGTTATGAGGAATTGAGCTTGGAATTTGTGGAAACCACTTATCTGAACGTTCATCTGTTATAAATTTCCCTGTTTACGATTCGTTTCAACTGCATTTACTTGGGCGCTTCCACTGTAAATCTGATAATTGACAAATCTAAGAAGCAATACTAAAGTAGTCTATATATTTCCCCCCTCATCCTTTGTCCGTTAGAAAAGTGATAATCATAGATTTTATACATCAAATACATACGGAAATGGAAGCAAGAATGATCACTAACATTTACAAATAAATCTGACTGGGAGATAATAATTACTTACAAAGTTATATGTATTTTGCTGAATATTAACAAGTTGAATGATGACAAAACGTGGATTGTGTCACAATTTTATATTGAGAATTGTTTACTGTAATCAAAAATATGATATTGAATACAATGAGCATCATTATTATTACGTTGTTATTGTACATTTTAATGACAATAGTACCTATGGTTTCCCTAAATTTCCATGTACGAACGTTTATGTATATGACTATTCGGATCTGGTAAGTGAAAAATGTACTGGGTTTTTATTAAACTATTTACAACAATATTTTCTCTATAGCTTCAATAAAAAAGCCTATTTGTCTTGAATTTATTACACTTCACATATGAATATTTAAGGGTTAGGTAGAGTTATGCCTACCTTGATTAATTTTCTGCAGTTTAATCCTATACATTTGGTAGATGATGAGTATACACTGATCAACTGTAAACAACTCAGTAAAATACATTCTTCTACATTTATCCTCTAATAGTCTAACTGGTTTCTTATAAGTGATTACTAGTTTTCTTTAGACGTTAAAAATATCATTCTTTAATATGACTGGTTAATAGTCAGTCAGCTACAACGTAAAACAAGGTATATATATGCATCGGTTCAGGTTGCCACACCTCAATAGCACAACAAGGTGATGACTGTTTAATAAATCCTAAACAATTAAAAACAACCGAGAAAATAAATGTTACTCAAAATTTGGTATATTTGGATAAATGAGCATAAGAATAGGTTATCATCTTATTATGATCATTCTTTGTACAAGGCAAAATTGTCTAACAATTTTCGCTAATCAACATAACCAAACTTACAGGGAAAAGGTATACGCAAAAAAAAAGAAAAACAGACTAATCAATTAAGAATAATTTGTCAGTGAACTATTTTTCAACGTGAGAATTAATTTCATTTGAGAAAACATAATAAATATTATGTAAACTATTACAATAAATATACAGTACAGAAACTATTCGTGAAATAGATTGACACCTCACAAGCATATATATATTGTGTAACCAGAAGAACAGATATGCTCTTTGTAGGTACAATTAAAATCTTTTACAAAAAGTGACCTAAAAAGGGAAACTAGAACGAATTCATGTACAAGTTAGATAAAGGAATACAGAAAAAAGGTAATGACTAAATACAGATCATGTACAAAAAAAACAAACAGACAAACTTCCAAAGTTTATATAAATAGTAAGATTAAATGTTACATAGAAATAGAGATATTATTATTTTTAATTTTAAATTTCATTTTGTTCTAAAATAAAAAAGTACTGCTTGATCTGGTACTTGAAATGTTCATTTGACCAGAATTGGCTACTGATGACGTTGTAGCTGTGATTGTTGAACCACTAGTACTCGATACAGAAGAAAGAAGTGTTGAATTTGGTAAATTTCTTATTACTGATTGAGAAATACTATTACTGCCAGTACTATTATTGCTACTACTACTATTATTATTGTTGTTAATATTATGGAAATATTGATTCGTTGTAGAAATAGGTAAACCAGGTGGAAATATTGAATCAGTCATAGATAATCCAAGTGAATCATCATTAATTATACTGTTATTACAACTTGTACCAATAGTATTATTATTCATATGACCAATACCACGATTTGTAGTACTACAATTACTAATAGAATTATTACTAATAAATGATGTATTATTCAAATTAAAATGTGGATTAACTAGACGTACAACACCAACTCCACCACCTAAACGTCTAGAATTCATACTACCTCGTACAGACCAACAATTTGCATCTGGATCATAGAGTTCTACAGATTTTAAATAGGTAGCACCATCGAATCCACCGATTGCAATTAACTGATTATTAACTACAGCTAATCCAACCTTATTTGTAAATAAAATAAGAAAAAAAATAATTATATTGATTGTAATGATAAGACTTAGACAATTAAAACCAAATGAATAATTATACTTAAATAATGTTGATATTTGGTGTCATATCTAGAAGGTTTTCTTGAGCACTAGAACGCCAGAACCCTTCCAAGTTGCAATGGGAAGATAGAACACTAATGAAGGTAATATTATTCCTAAACAGTGTCGATTATAGTACAAAATTGTCGGGTATTTATAGTTTTTAATAAACACAAAATCATTATTACAATCCACCAATCAGCATACAGGGGGTTATTAGCATTGTCCAATCAGGAAGCTACACGCAGGAATTCTAGAACACTCTTCCAAAAGGTGATTGGATGTAATATCTCCGGCTCCTTCTGAGCCTCCTACAGCTTTCTCGAGTTCACTCGTGGTCCGTCGTCACATTTGGTTGAAACTAATTCATACAAAATAAGCTTTTCAAACGAAATAAATGCCTTTTTTATTTATTTACAAAGCCCACTGAAATAACATTAGATATTAATATTTTCAATTAAAATTCATAAATTTCATTTCTATTATTAATTGTACTAGTTGTTTGAATCTTCCTATTGGTGTTTAAAACTGAAATTGACCAATTTCCTATTGGCATATGTACATTGTGATCGGACTTGTCATTAATTCACAAGAATTTTTAGCAGAGATAAATGATAGCTAACAGTGAAATTGGAGACATGTGTCTTTTTCTATTATTACTAATATCACCTTCATTTCAATACTTGAGGAAACATTCTGTCATAATCTTTCGCCATGTAATTATTTTTTCATTCTCAATCATCTGAAGGTTTATTTACTAATACATTTAATACATTTTACGCCGTGTCGGTTAATGAGATTAAAAACTTCTATTAAATAAGTTGGTTGAGAGATGTGTTACACATCTCCAACTGTAGCTTACCCTGATATAGAATGCTGAAATAAGTAGATTTGATAACAGGTCAAGGGAGGACAAATCAAAATATGATATCAATTCACCAAGATATTGAATAGTAGTCAGAGCTATATCGGGGGATACGGACTTCTGGACTAGGACGTTCACAATACTCGAAGTAAATGGCTGGAAACTTTTGGTGACATGGAGCAAAATAAGTTGCAATAACGTATCTGTATTCAACCTCTACCTTCCTCAAAATCTTGAGTTATTCATATATTTAAGCATATAAACATGGGTATAAACGAGCACCAAAATACATATACGACACACGCAACAGTTATTATTAGATCTGGAGATGTTCTCTGACCTTTTTCTCATAGTCTGATTTGTTCATAATGAAAGTCGTGTTCCCCTTATCTGCTCTCGTAATGATAATTGTCTCATAATTTATTAGCTCTTCTATTGCATATAATTCATCTTTAGTTAGATAAGAAGTGTGTAGTTTTTGATATAACAAAGTGGTCGCTAATTAATACCTCGAAGAGACCAAAATACTTCAGAAAGTGTTTGGCACGAATGAAGAAAGATTGTCACCAGAAGCTTTGTATATACGGACTATTCAGAACAACCTGAACAGAAAATATGGTATTCAACCAGTCACCTCCTGCCAAATGACCATTACCAAGTAATTGAACCCTATCTCTCTATCCAGCGCCGTCGTTCTGATAGGAATTAATTTTAATGTTTTATTAAATCAGCTATACATTTAATGGTTCTCCTTTTACATACACATGAACGCATCAAAAAAGCCTTTTCAATTTGCACGTTTATTTGCACTTCTAATAAAAACAAGTTAACATCTAATATCAATTATTAATAACTTAAAGTCACACACACACAAAACTACTCATTGATTTATTTTTACATTGTGAACTTTTCATATGATTCACATCTAACCGACTCATGTTATCCTACTTACTAAAGTCAATATCTGAATATAATTGGATAAGCACTTATCATAGATTTGATTTGATTGTCAAACATTATACATTCTTTGATTCTGCTAGTTACCTTGAAGAAGTCCAGAGAAGTTTGCTGGACGATATGCTGAAGTTATTTAAACTTCATTCGGTCAAATTACTTCAAATACAATTTTCGAAATAATATCTCCTCTATACTCGGCACTTAATTTCTTTCAAACATTTCGTTCAAATTATCACGATTAGCATAAGTTATTTAGCAAGAATACGCCACTTTTTCTATCACGATTTTGCAGTCCATGTGCACCATTGGTTTAGAATCATAGTTTACCAACTTGCCTAAGTGAATCCTTTATAAACGCTAACCCAGTTAAAGCCATGGCATTCGCTTTTCATCCTCTCAATTTCGTAAACAACAACCCGGCCGAGAGAAAACAGTGAGTAGGACTTCCTTGCCAGTGGTCATATAAGCGTGGCTACGTGAGGGCGTTTCTAGAGGAAGAGCAAACTCTTTTATAGTAATTGAATACATTATATAAAAGTTGTTACTTGATTGTTATGAAAAAATGAAAGTTCCTTACAGCGCCTAATTCTTTTTAGAAATATGACTTACTCCACTACGTCGTGATGTCATCGCTACAACAGGAGTCCAAGTACGACTACGTAGATCTAAGCATTCTACAGACGATAATTCCGTAACCTCATCTCTTCCACCCACAGCGTATATCAAACCATTATAGACAGCCACACCTAAGTGTTTACGTTTAGTTCCCATACAGGATATTTGGTGCCATGTACCAACACGAGGATCAAAATGTTCCACAGAGGATAAAGGTTGTTGACCATCTGAACCACCAACAGCATACAATTGACCATTCAAAACTGCAACACCGACACCTAAACGACGAGTAATCATACTGGACACCTTAGAAAGAAAAAAACAAAGATATATTACGTCACTCATACACCGTCATAATAGAGGTACTGTCTCAACATATATTAGTAACTAATATAAATAGGTTTATATAGTTGGACTAATTAAATCAATAAGAAATTATATTTATATTCTGCACAGTTCATTTTAGTCCATAAAATGTTTAATCAGTTTCCATAGTAAATTGATAATATATAATGTTTAGAGTAGTATATCAGAGTATTAGAAAAAAGAACACGGAATTGAGAATTTTCACTGAATAAATGAATTCTGAATATGGGCTTTATTGATATACACTTGAGCTTTTAAAAAGAATGAACAGTAAGAAAATACAAATTACAAAGTGATCATGAAATGATCCTGTATCACATCACAGTTATCCTTGAATATATGCAATAATTTTTTTACTTGAGAAGATATAAAAATTGGAGTGAAAAGCCTGATTCGGAAACTTGTAAATATTATTACCAAGGTTTGATTTTATATTTTCAAATAAATTTAACATTAAGTGGATTAGTTGAAGGGATTTTGTGGGGATCGATTTGATTTTTAAGTTTTATTTAGCATAGATGGATTTGTCAAATGCCCTGGTACGGTAGAGTGGGGAAAGTCAGCTCTTCCTTTCGAAATGCTCTACCCTTGGCCACGCATATACAGCCTCTGCCAAGAAAGTCCTATTCACTGCCTTTTCATGGCGAGGGTGTTGTTTACGAAATTGAGAGGACGAACAGTGAATTTTCAGTGCTTTAACTGGGTTGATGGATATGAAGAATCCGTCTAGAGGAGTTGGAAAACCCTGATTACAAACGAGTGGTGCACATGGGCTCCAGAATCCTGAGGAAATAAATGGTGTATGAACCAATTATTGGTAACCTGCTACCAAGGGACTGCATCTCCTGACGTTGCTACACTGCCTTGTGAATAAGACCCTCAGGTCGAAGGCTTTAAGTGTGGCACCCTAAGGAAAGCAAATGCTTCAGTTTGGGCAGTCGGGAAGTATCGTAGCCCACACACAACTCAAGTGACTTGTGTGGCGCATACGTATACGGTGCCCATTTGTACCAATATTTATATGTTCAAATAAATAATAAATAAACCATTGGAAACCAGAGGGTACTGGGAAACCTTCCCGCACTAGTATGGGACTCCAGATGTCCTAGTAAGAAGTAGTAACACGTGAAGTTCAAATATGTTAAGAATAAAGCAGTTTTCATCAATGGCATCAGATTATCGTTATCATATATCGCACATTAGAAGGATCCTTTGTAATTAAACAATAATACATTCGTAATATTTCGACATTCCGCGACTTACTATAAGTAGAACATTATAAATATGTTATTATCAAAATGGGAGTTTGTGGAGATTGTAGTAATTTTAATAGTTGAATCCATAAGTCAATTGAAACTAGACCACCATTGAAAACCTGGAAGCACTGGACGGCCATTTCGTCTCAGTACGGGACTCTTCAGCAGTGCGCATCCGCGATCCCATGTGCAAGACTCGAATCCAGGACCTCCAGTCTCGCGCGGGAACGATTACACTCTAGACCACTGAGCTGACCGGTATCCAAACGTGTTAATGTCTGACTTCACGAATTCAGCTATTAAAATATATTATTGTCACTGATTATTATCACTATCCTGAAATCGCTATAACGGCTCCATCGACTCAGTAAAATTCTGAAACAATCGAGCTTATCAAAGTGTTCACCGAATACATGCTAAAAACTGGAACCACTGGTTAACTGACTACAGAATATATATATATATATATATATATATATATTACATTCAGCCTGAACGGCATTACCATGACCTATTTGTCAACTAACAAATGAGTAGTCAAGAATGAAAATGAATGTGACAAAACAACGAGTGACTATTCACTTTTGCCCGTCGTAACAAAAGTTTAGGTATTAAGTTAAGTCCAATGATAAGAATATTTTTAATAAGGTCGAGACGACGGGCAGATTAGAATTTTAAATGCAATGAATGATCTTGAACTACTCTCCTAGCTTTTTCCACAGCAACCTACTCTTCCTTAAACATAAGTACTGCTACGTCCCGAGGTTAACTGATTGAGATACATATACACTAGCCTCCTATACGCTCCCCTAACCGGTTATGAAGGTGAGAAGACTGAAGACTGACTAGGAACCCACAGTTAGCAAACCGACTAATGTGTACACGAATCAGGAGTATACATATACCTGTCCTGACTCACCCAATAACATATAAGCTGAAACCTTGACTACATGTACATCAGCTATCTGCCAGTAACATGTCTCGGTTATAATCTCTTAATGGCGTTTAACATTGAAACGGTTTGTGAATACAGGCATATGATATGTTTAGATCAACCCAGACTAACAAATAAACATAAACTCACTAGTCAATGGAAAGAGGGAGTTAACATTACTACTGAGTCGTTAAAAGTCAAATGTTCACGTCTAAAGTGTATATACAAACCTAAAGTAGATAACTATGGATATATGTGTTAAACAAGTGACAAAGTGTATGTCGTAGTCACAGAGAGATCTTAAAAATTAATAAACGCATGTAGTACATTATATGTACATAAGGTACAATTAAATATGTGGAATAAGTTACCTTGAGCCATTTATTTACATTTGGATCATAGCATTCAACAAAATTCAAACAAGACACACCATCTTGTCCACCAACAGCATACATAGAACCATTTAATACAGCTACACCAACACTTGTACGACACGTACTAGTTGAAGCAATATCTGATGACCATTGATTTGTGTGTGGATCGTATCTAAATTAAACAATATTAGAAATATCCACAACTTGAACTACAGAATAGGGTTGCTGTGTTCGACAAGTTGTATAGAATATGACTGTGATACTAATAAAAGTTACTTAAAATTTCAATGTCATCCAGTTCGGGGCTGTTTAGTTACTACTCCATTAATAAAGTAATTTTAAGTAATGTAAGCATACTGAAAAAATTTCGGGGTATCCATTTATTGATATGAATATAAAAAATGAACAATTTATTTTAATAGTTGAGGTCATTAGTCAATTGAAGCTAAATCACCATGGAAAACCTGGGAGCAATAGATGGCCCTTTTATCTTAGTATAGGACTCCTCAACAGTGCTCATCCAAGATCCCACCTCTCGAGATTCCAAACCAGGATCTACCGGTCTCGCGCGCGAATTCTTAACCTCTAGACCACTGAGCCGGCATCCAACGGTGTAAAAGTCTAACTTTAACTAATCCACGAAATTGAGCGACACATCCACCATTGTCTTCAGTGAGTTACTATCTCACAACAGACCCGGTTGAACTCCACTGGTCAGTGATTCTCACTAGAACTCCAGGAAATACCTCTTGAAGCCAGTCACTGGTGGGCATAAGTTGATTAATATCAGAAAGGGTTTTTGTGAATATTATGGTAATTTTAATAGTTGAGATCATGAGTCAATTGAGGTTAGACCACTATGGAAAACTTGGAAGCACTGCCGAGGAGTCCCACAATAGGACGAAACGGCTGTACAGTGCTCCTAGGTTTCCAATGGAGGTCTAGCCTCAAGTGACTCACGATCTCAACTATTAAAATAACTATAATATCCACAAAAACCCCTCCTGATACTAAAAAGAATTTATTGACAATTCCAACGACAGGGAACATTGTGAGTAACCTTTGGAACTAATCAAAAAGATGATGGAAAGTGATGAGCAAGTTATTGAGAAAAGCTCATTGATCAACTGATATGAAACGTGCCCTAAACTAAGTAACAATATAGTGTTGTATGCTGTAATAAGTTAGGTTAATGATACAAAGATTAATAATTAGATATGCAGCAAAGAAATAGCCAGCAAAAATTTGTCATCCATTTTATTTACGGCTGAAAATTAGACTACTCACGAGTAGTTTAAAAATGCAATAAATTATTAATCCAAGCGTCAGAAATTTCTGATCTCAATGTCTGAGTTATTGATGAAAACAATGTTGGTTGAATATTGTCAGATTACACACTACCTGAATGTTAGGCACATAGATCACAGTAGCTTCAAAGCCCTCCATTAACGTTATAAATAAAATTTAACAAAATAATAAACTTTTTTACGAAGAAATAATTAGATGTAATATAATTATTGAGTGGTCTTTTCATAGGCAATAAAAATAGAATAGTTTATTGATGAATTTTACAACTTTATGTCGACAGCCAGAATATTACACTTAAATAACTTCACCTACTTCAGAATTTAAAAAAAACATGTAAATGGTTACTTTGAAAATACAGATCTATCCCTTAAAATTAACGTTTTGAAGAACAATACACATTAATTCATTTTATTCTGCATCAAGTGTTATTCTTGTTTTATTTTTTTAAAAACAGATGCTGTTAGTGAAGAAATTAAAATACTGCTTTAAAACATAACGAATATTAAATAACAACACAGATTACCTTTCAACAGAATTCAAATAACTATGTCCATCATGTCCTCCAACAGCATAAAGAAGATCATAGACAACTCCAACACCTACGCCACAACGTCTTTTATGCATTGGAGCTACAAGATGCCATTTATGTGTACGTGGATCATAATGTTCAGCTGAAGCGATCGCATCTCCTGAACACCATCCACCAATTGCAAATAATAATTCACCTCCTTGTAAAATTTTTCTAGGTTTAGTACGTGGACCTTGCATTAGTGGACGTTCTTGAGGTAATAATAAATAATCTTTAGCTTCATCAACTAAATCACGACAACGTTCATCTGAGCGTACTAATAAATCTGTACTAACGGTACCTACTAAAAATTTCGGACTAAGAAGAGGTAATCGTACATGTTCTAGTAAATAAGATAAATAGGGACGACGATCAGATAAATTATGATGCATCCAACGCATTACAGAATAATAAACTTGTTCTTCTGAATTAATATTTAAATCATCGGAACTTAAAATATCTACAAGATGACTAACAGGCAACAGAAGAAATTCTTCAGATTCTACAACTTCCTAAAATTAAAATTATAAAGAAAAAGAAGCGAAAATAACCAACAGTTCAAGATCAAAATTTCAAGGGCATTTTTTTCTAAAAATTTGAAAAGCAAACAAAACGGAAACTCATTTAGGTGTTCGGTATACAAAAAGTGAAATACTTTAATAGATTCGATAAGTTTATTTGCTAGAAGTAGGGATATTCAGTTTACGTATAAGAATTTAAAAACTATGATAAATTAACTTGTTTAGCAAGTAATTTTAGATACAACTTCAAAATGGATATTCGGTCAACCATTTTGAAACATGAATATATTCCTAATAGATATAAGTCCATATGGAATTAATCTCTTTTAGTAGTGTGTTTTGTATACAGCAACCATAAACATTCAAAGAATGTGGCGACTTCAATTTATCTTATGATCAAATCATTTTCACAGTTGTATGCACGAGTCAACCTAAGCTAGACCACCATTAAAAACCTGGAAGCACTGGGCAGCCGTTTCGTCCTAGTATGAGACACCTCAGCAATGCTCATCTACTAGTGAATCCGACCGTGGAAATACTACAATCTCCACAAATCCCCATACTAATAAATCATTTTGTGTTTATCCCCAGTGAAACAAAAAAATGGTTCCAACACATCCAATCAATATGATTTATACTGATTAATTACTATTATCTCGTCTAGATAACTTAAATTACAATCGTATGATCACTTTAAGTGCATTCTACTTTGTCAATATGCCAATCATTTCGAACTTGTTTAAGAGTATTCTACATAATAGTTCAAAATATAATTAAAACTTAATTGTTGTATAAAGAGAGAATTTATCATATGTTTAGTGTGTAAAAGGTGATAATCTACTAATCAGAATAATCAGAGTTTTCATGAAAGCACACAAATACAAATTAAGAAAACTTTATGTTTGACAACCCAATCTAAAATAAACCAAAACCATGCTTATATCGACCTCAGATTTTTTGTAAGTTTTCAGTGGCAAGCATTTAGAATGAATCAGAAGGATAGTTTCAATAGTTTTTTTTTAATGAACATATTCACAAGAATTTGTACCATTGTAATGCCTGAACATCTTGTACATATAGAGAATTCAATTATTTTTTTGGAATGAATTGAAATTGAAAATTGCACAGAGAAAAGTGAAATTATTTCCCTGTGAAGCAGTAATAAATCCTCTTATTTCTTTCTTGAATTATTGATTACAGTCTAATAAGTTAATCTTCATCATCGTCGTCATTATCATCATCATCTTAATTTATCATTCATGTATTAAAAATAATACATTAGTTAGAATTATTGACTTTTTTCAGCAAATTTGCTTTTTTTTATCCACAACTTAAAAATAATCCATAATAAATATATTTTAATTATATCCCAAACAGTAGAAAAATTGTACTTCTGATGTTTCGGGACTTAATGTACGCCACTTTTTCAGAGTAAATAAAATCTGAATAACTGGCTTATATTAGGTCACGAAACACCAGTAACACAATTATTCTACTCATTGGGATATAACAAAAATATATTCATTATTAACTCTCTACCCAATGCTCAAATTATATGAAGCTATCAAATTCAACCTTGGTATGGATACCTATAAACTCTTTAAAATATTGTATTAAATAACTCGTAAGTTAGCAACAAAATTTTAATATTACAGTGGCTTGGATTAAATCCGTTTCAAATATTTCATTTTCCATCTTTGCCTGGTTTCAGCTTATGCTTTTCGATCATGAATTGTAAAGTCAAGAATGGGATACTGCAGAAAACAAGTAAGCTTACTGTTTTACATTGACTTTTCTACAAACAACTGCATGAAAATGAGATTATTTGCCATTTCAAAACTTATCAATTAAACTAAATTTAAGAAAGGAATTATTTCCATCAAGTTTTATTATGATTGAATAAACAGAATTGATTACTCAGTATTCCAGCATCATGATTTTTTCTCTTGATTATAACAGTCAAGAATTTTAAATTAAGATAGAACAAGCTCATTTAGCTGACACATTACATTACTGGTCATAATAAAAATAACGTAGAAACTTGAGACATACGTGCATCAGTTCAACTTACTTCAATTTATTATTATGGTGAAATGAAATAATTAATTCCAGAGTGACAGAAATACTAACAATATTAGTTGTAGGGAAAACACTGAGCGAAAATGATATGATTCGAGAGTAGAAAAGTACAAGATAATTTTAAAACACAAGATTTAAGGGAGGAAAAAAGTTAAAGTATCTGTGCCATTGCTACCGACTCTGAGATGTGTCACCTAGTCTAACCTAACCATTTGTTATGATAATATCAAAAACCCTAACCTAGTAGTATACACCTACCAGAATCGTCCAGTTCAATAATCAATGACTCAACATGACTAACTCTGATGTAAATAAATATATACTTGAATTAGAATATTTGTAAAAATAACCAAGTAAGTAATTGTTTTGTCAATTAACAATATGTATATGATAAACCATATTCATTTACTGAAAGGCAACTAGAACATATATTAACTCGTAAGCATTGACAAATTTTTAGCATTTTACTATTACCATTGAATTATTGGCATTATCTAATTTTTATCCTGAATTTAATTGAGGTAATTTATAAGAGAAAGTAAGGGAACTATATATTTCAAACAGGATTTCTTTTTTCATCAAACAAAAAAAAGAAACCTCAACTTGTTAGAAAAATATTTAAAACCGTGAATTTTTGGCCAGTGGTGTGAATATGTTTCTTTTTCTAAACTTATTGATGAATTATGGATTATTTACCCTACTGACTGAATCCTCTTTACAAATACGGGTGTATACATTTAAATTTGTTTGAATTTGGATTTTTTACGAAGAATAATAAATAAAAAGCAGCAGGACAAAAAGTCACTTTTCGACAGTTCAACAGAAGCTAAAGTAACAAATATAAAATACAAAAGGTTTTGGGCTACGGCGTCACTTTTCATGAGAGGAGGAAATAAAAGAATAAATAAATTAGCGGAATAATTGTCATTAGTGATATAACCCAAAGTACACACTACGACTAAGCTGTAAATCATACTCCTGAAGGCTCGCTCTATACCAATTTTAACCTAATAACGTCGTATTCCCGCGTATGGTATATAGTCTAACAACTTTAGCTCACATGGGTTTTGTATAAATTTACTATTTGTCGATCATAAGCAACGTATAAACTGAAAAAAATGTGCATCGGTTCTAGCTTTTAGGTCACATTGTGGTGTATGTTGCTTCTGTCTGTCGATATAAGTAACATGTAACACCAACCAAAAGTGAAAAACCTGGCAGCAGAAAGTTGGGATGATCGAATCGAAGAGAACGGGAACAGAGGGTAGCTGTTATGGCAATGAAGGAACGATGAAGTTTGAGACAATTGATGGAGGATTCGCAAATGAAGTACTATACATATGGTTTTCACATTTAATGAAAGAACTCCGTAATTTTCTATTAAAATACAACTGATTGTCCCCACCTGTGCTCTCGTCGACAACAACATCGGTACACCGAGATGAAACTATCAACATGAATATCAGAGTAGTAGTGGTAATTGTATCGGGTGATAATAAGACAGATTGAGTGTATGGAAATATGATTCCAGTACGAAGAATGAATTCACAGAACAAAAAGTATGATACATGAAGCTGTAATACTCAGACAACAAAAGTTACTTTAAAAACCTTTCGACAAAGATAGACTTAAACAATACATATATAAATCGTACGATGTGTGGCGTGTAGTTAGGACCTTTAAATCCTAAAGCGATGTTCTACACCGAGGTGTATGCACAAATCCCAACAGTGACAAGTTCAAAATGACTATCCACTTCACTAATCTCAGCAACACTGTAAAGGTATTGATGCAAATGTGGAAATCTTAGATGACATTTACTGATTCTTGTATTTTTCTAAAGCTTATTTAAGCTAAAATGAAGCAACATGACTGACATTGCAAGATATCAGTTTAATCAAATGAGATTCTGTATTCCCTACTGGAAACGGTTGAAAGGTTTTTGATAAACCAGTCAAATGAGAATAAATGAAAAGAACCTTCCGCTTACATGATACAATAATTTGAGACTGTTCTGACTAAAAGCCAAAATATTTCAAACTGAGACCAAAGCTTGGTTTCATTAAACAAGTGGCTTAGGGTTTCTTTGATTAAATCCTCTTCAAATATCTCATTTTTCATCTTTGCCTGGTTTCAACTTATGCTTCTTGACCATGAATTGTAGATTCAAGAATGCGATACTGCATAAAACAAGTAAGACTACTGTTTTACATTGACATTTCTACAAACTGCGTGAAAATGAGATTACTGGATAAAACGTTTCGCCATTTATTCCGAACTAAGTTATCTTAAACAATGGGTGGATTTCAGAACCAACGTAAGACAGAGTTTTACTGGTAAGTACCAATGAAATCTTTTAATACCGATCTATATAAACAATGATATTCTACATAAATTCCAAAGGCACTGTGTATATGCTGATAACCAAGTAACAATAAATATAATCTTACAAGAAAGTTTAGATGTGTAAACCGATCAGCTACACGCAATAATCCTCTGCAGGCATGTGTGTCTGCGAATGCTCGAATTCCAAGACAATTAGATGGATCCAACTGGCGCTTTAAGAATTCACAGCAAACATCTTGGATTTCTGTAAGTTGCAAGAGACAGGCAGCTGGAAGCAGATTTTGAACATTACATTCTTCTACTGTTATTTGGCTAGTGTAACAGAAATCTATGAGAGTTTCTACAGCATCGCCATCTAGATCGTAGAGAGTTACCTAAATGAGTGAGGAACAAAATTGAAATTTGTAGTAAAGTTGATGGATCGTCTGCAGAAGAAATAAACTTTATCATAAAATTAACGACTAGCAAAGCCTTAAGTACCATGTATGCATAAGACTTTTAGAGCAACTAAATACTAGTTATATTACTTTGAGTCAGAATCCACGTCTTATCAACATGAAATTTCTTCTGCAACCTGCATAAGCCAATGATGATAGTATCTGTTGATTTAAATGTCACAAGGTGTGATCAGGCTTAAATCTGTGAATTTAACCGAAAACTGACCATGTAAATCACGGATCCGTGTTTCTTCAGTCTAGGACTCTGTTGAGTATCGAAGTTACTCAGTATGTCACTCAACTACAATGTAGGACCAGGTATGCATATGTATCAGTTCAAGTTCCCATACCTCATAAGCACAAAAAGATAAACACAATATTCATAGAAGCAGTTACTTCAATGGTAGTAATATATATATATTTAATATTGCTGGTTGCAGTAAAAATAGTCAGAAAGCGTCAAAGTAATAATACCTCCGTTTGTCGAGATTCCGCCAATTCTCCAGTGAACATTGCTCTGAAATAAGCGGAACAGGCAGCCAGCACAACACGATGTGTGTAAATTTCGCGACCATCAACCAGCAACACTACATCACATAATTCTTTATTTTTACGAAAACGATTCATAGCTTCGAACGAACTAATAGGATGACGTTCAGCAGTATATGCCAGACGATCATTAGATTGTTGAACAACACTCGACTTTGTGTTGTTAGCGGACGACGCGACATATGAATTCTGAACACTATTCATTAACCCATCTCCCAATGAACAACAACGAGATACAAGATTATTAGATTCACAAAAATTGACACGTTCATGCAGGGAATTAAGCATCCTATTGTCACTTGCACAAATATCACTTCGAATGGTACCTGTTACAGACGTAGATGAATCAACATATGACGACCGGATGTTGCTCGAATCACCCACTGAGACATTTATACTATCAGGTATATCTGTACTTAATCGTTGTCCGTGGTAAACAGAGGAACCACCATTTCTACTGTTTGGATGAATATCGACATCCATTGGTAGCATAATTAAAAATTTAAATCATGATTATTCTATAATAGGAAAGTGGATAAAAGGTAATCTAATAAACATGGGAAAATGATATGTATGAACGATTAATATGGACATACTGAAACAAAGTGATGAAATTACTTTTCTTAAATTCAGAACTTAATAGGTCAAAGTAGGTTATCGTTTTGTCATGGCACCAGAAAGCACTTAGTCTGCTTTTAAATGATACTTGAACCAGTATCTAAGACTGACTCCATGTATCAATTGGTGACATCTTTTAATTACTTTGACAACTGATTTGGAATACATTTAACTGCATTTCCCAGGCGCGGGTATTCTAATTGGAGTTAAGAGAAAACTATTATTAAGAACTCTAATTTTTTTCTCAAACCTGGTATGCATTTTTCACTTGACAATCTACTACACTTTCTAACATATCTTGTACTGTTTCTAATTTAATGTTTTTCCCTTGACAGTTTTGTCTTAACGCATGGACTAAAATTGGACTAATGCACGTTGCTGTGCAGGATTGTAAGTTATTTATATATGCATATATGTACTGATTTTATCCGCAAATTAGCTAATAATATCTCTGCGGTAGGAACTATGAGGTAATTATGTATGTATAGAGCAAATGATTGCTACGCTCTTCATTTATTTGTACTTTACATACTTTTCACTTATTTTTTATAACGATCCAGAGACACGGCTGAATAAAGCACTTTAAATCATAAAAACACTTTCTTCAGTTAAATTATAAGACAGACATTGGGAGGTAGTAAAATTGGCCTTGCAATGACGATAAAGCTGAAGTATGCAGGTAAACAACCCTGAGATCTTTGATAAAATCAAACGACAAAAATTATGATTGTTTTATACAAAAACTAACTGGGAGTATAGAGTTTTACATGAATAAAGGACTTTACGAAGTTGGCTATAGACTGTTAGTTTTTATATTTCATGTTTATATTACATGTACCATAGCTTCTAGCCCAAAAATCCTAGGCCCAACACTAACCATTACTCCTACTTCAAAACGTTAATTCCGATGTATACTTACAATTAAACCAGATCATATCCTTAATACTAACCTGTTATATATTGGGATGTAACACTATTTCGTACATCTACGCACTAATTATTGATTGGTAATTAATTACAGACATTTCACTCCTGCTTCGACATATAACAGCAACCACAAACCTCTTAAGAATGACCTTACATTACTGACTAAAACTAACTATAGCATGGTCGATAAGTTTGCCTTTAATCACTTATCTTGTTGCATGATCGGGACATCTCAGAGGACATAGCAGGTGGGTAGAAAAGCCAAGAACGAACAAACTACCCGTGACATACAGGTTTTCACACCGAGTAATCAACACCTGGAACCTTCTGCCCAAAGCAGTGGTGTCCGCGACTTTGACTGACTCATTCAAGGGAAAACTAGACACTCACAGAAGCATACTAGAAAAGGAACAACACAAGCCGTAGACCTGTCCTTACAACACAAATCTCAACCTAAAATAGGCTAGCTATACATTTTATGAGCAAAGACTAACAGCTAGGGTTGGTAGTCAGTTTGACAAACAAGAAGTTTGGCCTCACATACCGAAGTGGTATCAGCTAAAATGCAATAAATCTCCGAATCAAAATCAAGCAAACATCCGAGTAGCACTACCTAAAATCCTGCTGATTGGTTTTTATACTTCATTTTCATCAATGTCTTTTACACCCTAAGGAAGTGACTTAATAATGATTGAAATATAGAAATATATTGCGTGGTCTTACTCGATAGCATAACAGATCTCCTGTAGCGCATACCTTATAATAGAGCCTAAGCTAACTGCTCAATATCTATATTTAAATGTTTTCATGAAATAATGTCAAATAACCAGGTGAAGTTTCACTCTCATCATTGAAGACTCTTATATCCTAATAATAACTGGTGATTTAGTCGCACAGTCTACCCCCAAGACTGTTCGCCCGGTCAATAAAGAGTCCAAGATTCATAAACGCACACAGACCTCCAAACAACAAGTTATTAAACCTGAACCCATCGTGAAACCTGGTAAATTAACAACAGTTCGTGACGATTCTCTCATTATCATGAACCTCGTTGACAATCCTGACCTTCCTCTCAGTCTGCAGGACAAAAACGACAGGATGCTGTGGGGTGAATTGAACAAGAAGCTCGAACTTCCTAGAATAGAGCCTTTGACGGTCACCCGGCTCACTCGAGGAAAGGATTCTAAGCACCTAAATCACCCGAGGCTTCTCCGAGTAACACTTAAGAATGCTACCGACGTAGAGGACGTCTTGCTAGCAAGTCACTTACTGAAATCAGATGGTAACGTAAGAATATTGCCCGACATACCGTACTCTGAGCGCAATATCATACGGAACACCCCTAAAGAATCTCGCGAAAAGTTTTTCCGCGGAAGAAACATAATTGTCCAAGGTATACCGGAAAATGCAGACCCTACTCAATCAAATTCTGACATCAGGGAATGGAAATTCATCAAACAGTCCCTGAGGCTCAAACACATACTGACTCAGCATGTGACGAGACTAGCCAAGAAGGACGGTGATCTTAGACCCCGTCTAATGAAGATAACCTTCCCATCTTCCCACATGGCGGCTGCAGTTCTGGAAGCATTTCGTGCTAATAGACGTCGATTGCCACCTGGAATCCACATGCACCCGGATAGGCCATACGAAGTTAGGATCAAGAACAAAGGCAAGTTGAAGCTGACCATTCAACTTGTGGACTGTCTAAACGATAAAAAAACGTGTAAAGGACAGGGCCTACCACCTCGGCAAACCTCATATAGGTGGGCTACCTGTCCATTCACATAAGGTTCATACAGAAAAACAGGACGAAGCTCACGCGTTCCAAATTGAAAGCATAAACTGCTTATATATGAACGCCGCGAGTCTATCAAACAAACTGGATGAACTACGTGAACTTAGCAACGCTAATAAGGCCCATCTGATAGGAATATCTGAAACCTGGATATCTTCTCAGTTCTCGGATCAAGAGTTAGCATTACCTGGGATGACTTTGTTCCGCAACGACAGAAAAACAGGAATTAGGGGCGGAGTAGCCATATACATAAGCTCTTGCTTGGAGGTGCACCAGGTTCACAACCTCGAGTTTAACAATCTTGAGGAATCCATATGGTGCTCTGTAAGATTGTCTAGTACTTCCAGGTGTCTAGTCGGAGTCATTTACAGGAAGCCAACTGCCGACACCGAGTACGATAGTCGTATGCTGGAAGGACTATCCCGCTCTATCCGTCTCGGTTTCACACACATCCTGATTCTAGGGGACTTTAATCTCCCTAGAGTCAACTTCGCGGAACACACGTACATTGGAGGCGACAACTCAACTGAAGCTCGGTTCTTCAACCTCATCAATAACTTGGGCTTATATGAAAATGTGAGGTCGGCAACTCGTTGGAGAAACAGTCAGACACCATCGCGCTTAGACTGTGTATTCACTAACGAAGAATTCCTAGTCGACAACCTCTCAATCCTGGCTCCTCTGGGAAAGAGCGATCATGCCGTCATAGCCTTCAGTTTTGTCATCAAAACTAAGCTAAGGTATCCCAACAATAATTTGCGTTGGAATTTTAAACGGCTGAATGTGCCAGCTCTACATGACTATCTACAACAGGTGGTTTGGGATGTTCACCCTCAACTCGATGTGGATGGTCATTGGGACTTCTTAGTGCACACGCTCCTATGTGCTACAGACCATTCAGTTCCTCAAACGGTTCCCAAAAGCTGCAAGCCACCTACAGTAATCAAGAACCGTACCCTTCGCCTCCTAAGCCGCAAAAGGCACTGTTGGGCAGAATACAAACGAACTAATAACGATGGAGCGTATAGGCAATATAAGCATATCAGGAACATATGCACGAAGGCTATAAGAGAAGACAGGCTTCAGTACCAAACAAAGCTTATGGACAAATTCGCCTCTAACCCTAGAAGCCTATTCCGTTATGCAGCCTCTCTTCGTCAAGCCAAAACAGGAGTTTCTCAACTGCTAGGTCTTAATGGCCCGACCAACAATGATGGCGACGCCGCTAACCTTCTGGCGGCACATTACTCTCAAACATTTCAAACGGCTGACATCAACTTTATTGACGACAGTTTCATCGGCAATTCCACAGGACTTTCTGAAGTGGACCTAAGCGCTCACTTGGTGTTCCGGAAATTGCAGCACTTAAGACTTGACACTTCTCCTGGCCCGGATATGGTTCACCCTGCCATACTGAGGGAGGCAGCCTCAATCCTGGCAACGCCGCTTAGCGTGATGTTTTCACACTCGCTTAGCCGAGGCAAATTACCGGAAAATTGGAAGTTGGCTCACATCACACCAATTTTCAAAGGAGGTCGACGCAGCGAACCTTCAAGTTATCGGCCGGTGGCTCTTCTCTCCATACCCTCGAAAATCATGGAGTCCCTGATATGCGACGGTTTAAATGACTATCTACTGTCCTTAAATTTCTTCTCACCCCAACAGCATGGTTTCAGGAAGGGTTACTCTTGTATAACCAACCTGCTGACTGCGGTGGACAGATGGACAAGCATCCTCGATCGCAAGGGAAAGGTTGATGTCATTTACCGTGACTTCTCAAAAGCTTTTGATAAGGTTAACCACTTGTGTCTTATCAACAAGCTCAAACGACTAGGTATCAAACCACCTCTAATCGACTGGCTTACTTCATACCTAAAATATCGACACTTCAAGGTTAGGGTTAATTTCACTTTATCTCAGGCTATGGAATGTCCTAGTGGGGTCCCCCAGGGCTCAGTACTAGGGCCTCTTCTCTTCTTGATCTACATAAATGATCTTCCTCAACAGGTAACGTCAGACTTATTACTTTTTGCCGACGACGTGAAACTTTGGAGAGAGATACGCAACCAAGACGATACACAGGCACTTCAGGAGGATCTGACGCGACTTCAAAGTTGGGCAGACGATAACGGACTTACCTTTAACACTT